GCCCCTGCCGGAACGAGGACCGCGGACACACGCCTTCAGAACACAAAATGCGATGACGAAGACTATCAATCATTCCATCTAAGACGATATCTAGATGACGATAACTCGAACTTCATGTCGATGATCATTAGGATCTCGATATCTCAATTTTGGTTTCACGCGCATTTCGATAATACTAATCTCAATAATCAGAAACATCGAAGGTCGAACTTTGAAGATTACTTGAAGGTCACAATCAATAGAATCACTCGAAGTTCGAGTAAAGCTCGATCACCCAGAGCTCGATCATTGAAACCCTAATCAGTCGAAGCTCGATCAGTCGAAACTATATCACTCGAAACTCGATCAGTCAAAGCTCGATACTTGCAGCTCGACCTCTTGAAGCGCGACTAATGAATTCTGGATCACTTGAACCTCAATCAATCAAATCAATCGAGACTCCATCACTGAAATTTTAACTACTCGAAACCTTGACTACTCAGGATTCTCGTATATGGCTTAATTCGGAACTCGATAACTCGAATCTCAAAAATCTGATCACCGCAATAGGAATTGTTTAATTCCCCTTCTCCCTCTCTGTACTCACGGACTTCGGTAACTGAAACCTCGATTACTCTGAAACTTCAGCTTCTCTAATGACATGCTGCAATAGAGCTTGGACTCGGACACTCCTGAGTTAAACGTTTCTTTTTCACTCTGAAAATGTTGTTGAATTTCATAATTTCAGGGGGAAGTAGATTACGAAATTTTAACAGATATACACATTTGTGAAACAGAAATAAAGGCTGCATCAAAACGTCTGTCTATTCGTCCAACCTTTTGTCAGTGAATAAAACTAGCCCCTGAGTGATTCAATAAATTTTCCAAAATTTGTATCCACCGATCGATCAACCCCAACTCGCAGCATTGCGAGTTTGAATCAAATCTTTTAGTTTTAGGGAGAATTTCACATAAAGGCTACGGGGTGCCGGTCACATGGCCGAGATCGTGAGAGCAGTAGTACCGTTTCGGTCGCGGAGCAGAAGACAACGGGTTTGAGTCCCGCCTGTGCCTAAATGTATGTGTCGTCCCGCTTGTGTCTATATGTGTGAGCCGTTCTTTCACTCCTCACTGTCATCTCATTATCTATACCCCCAGGACTATGAACCTTGGGGGATACAAGTGGGGATTCAACTAAAATGCTGAAATGCTGTGAAAAATATTCGTGTTTTTTGAAAAAACAAACTCAGGTAAAACTGACACAAGAAAAACACTAAACCATTTTGTTTATTAATGATAATTTAAATACACAACTCTTTGAGAAATGTAATACCCCCCCTCCCAAAGAATGGCTCGGATAAATGCGAACTTGGAGAACTTGGACAACTGTGTATGGATTAACATTGCATTGAAATAGCGTAGTCAGAAACCGTTCTCAATTGCGGGACTGGAGAGATCGTTGTTATGCTACGCTCATTCAGTGAGAAAACTGAAAGCGTGTACTAACATGACTCTTCGACACCAGAGTGCGCAATGGTAGCATGTGAGTGAGCGGGGTCAAATGATTGAACTCCCGTTAGTAGGTTCGTCTTACCATGATGTTGCGGCTCGAAGAGGAGATACTACCACTACTGTGGTGCGTGTGAAGAACCAATGGCTATAAAAGGGTCATGCGCAGCAACAAGGTAAATGGCATTCTGAACGACAGTGGGGCAAACCCAAAAAGCTATCCCCGACTGAAGAGAATAGCAAACTAACGTACGCCGGGGCCATTTTGTAGCATTAGTTTATTGATTTTGACGTGAAATAAAAAAAACATTAGTGGACACGTATCAGCACTACATGATCTCAAATTACAAAAATAATACTAAATATTCGTTTTTTAAAAAAAGTTCTAATATTGAGATATCTGTCCCACTGTCCATGTAGATTCGTGATGGTTAGTCTTGTCTAGAAAAAGTTAGGAACCACAGACAAATGCATGAGAGAAGTGAAGAAATTGTTGTTCGTTGGCACCGACATGGACAACGTGTTCATTTTCTCCCTCAAAATTCGTGTCTTTGTTTTTGAGGAAAGACACGCAGACACATTCAAACATACAAATGCAGAAAACATACATAACACAAAGAACACAAATATACAGATATGCACACATAAAACGACGTACAGACACACGTTTTAAACGTTAAAAACGACTTTATTTTGGGGGTAATTTCCTGATGTTTGAGATCAATCGTTTAGTGACTTTGAGAAAGAAGCAGATGTTCCGTCAAGTTTATAAAAGAGGTTAGAAATTAACCAAAGGAATATTCGGACCAACAGATATGCAGTTACACCTGTCCATGAGTCGAAATATGTCTTATGAAGTAAAAACAATAATACATCAAACCGCCTCTCAACAAAAAACTGTCATTGTCACGACGACAATGCGATGCATCCCAGCATGCATGCCTGAAGTATTTCCTGTCGAGAACGCATTTTCTTTGTTAAGAGAAGATCCACTTTTTTAGAATTCCATAGCAGAAGGAGACGTCTTCACGAATACAGCAATAGCAGTGTATTGGTTGTACAAATATTATGCTCTACTGTTCTTTATTTCGAGAATATAAAACAATATGTTCCGGAATGCAAAACGTGAATAGCAAATTATAATGCCGGTCAGCCTCTTCCTTGGATCCTTCCACGATGTCGGCTGCGTCGTTATCAGTGACGTACTGAGTATTCGCGCAGCATGAGAATAGGTGGAACAACACAATAAAATATTTGCATTTTCACTCGAATTGAAACTCGTTGGTTTTTCATTTTGCTGTCTTCCTTTATATCTAATACATCGTAGGTACCGCCCCATAGATAAAAACAGTAATTGCGGAGAGATTTTACACATAAATATGATCTCACTGAAAGAAAAGATAAGACTCTGAACACGGGGTGAAGCAGATACGAGGAGACATAAAATTCAAGATGGAGACAATGCGAAAAGGGTTGAGAAGCTTCTCCAGGGGCGATGCCTCATCCTCAGTACTAGAAGTAGCCACAGCAGTTGGAGCAGAGATAAAATAATTTCCTGTTTTAGTAGTTTCAGTCAAGCGTTTGTTGAGCTGCGCCATTTGCCACATTTTCGAAGTAAATTTGAATTATTTAGATACTCCTCTAACGGGCAATTGTCTATGAGAATAAAGTTAATCGGTCAAAGTCTGAAGAAGAAGAAGAAGAAGAAGAAGAAGAAGAAGAAAAATATCGACTTAATAGTACAATATTTTTGGTAATGTGTTTGATATTGGATATGTAAAATATCTTATGAGTACCACTTCCCTGACGTCAGAGGGACCTGTTGAGGCTTTTTGTTGTGTGGAGTTCTCCGGCTGCCCCAGATGAGCAGAGAGCCTCAGAGCTCGTTACGGCACTACATGCAAATGGCACCGCCGCGAGGCGCCCCAGAAGGCTGTTCCCCACCCCCATCCCCACTCTCGTTTTCGTAAATTACGCCCTTTTCTTTCTTCTCCCACCCCTCCCCCTCTCCTCTTCCCTCCCTCGTAAACACTGCAATCGCGGTCGCTTTC